GACCGATGCATGCGTCCCCCCGTGCTGAGCCCAAGGATAAGTCCAAACGGGGAAAGATTCTGATGGGAGATCTACCACTCCACTCAAGACTGGCTTTGAAGTACGCAGCCTGTGTAGGGACCCGGGGGACCGCTCAAGAAGTGCAGGTGCAGTGCTATTTATTAGTGCACCGTTAGGTTTGGAACACGTATAGTACCAGACTCAGAAATGTCAGAAAACATAGAAAACATATGGAGGAAATGAATTAACTGGCCACTACAACGCGTTCCGGAAGTAGTACATACCCAGCGAAACACAAATAAGCCACGGAAAAATGCAGCTGCGAAAGAACTGGCCCCATGGAACACAACCTGCGGCTCAAATGTTTTTTTTTAATTACAAAAAAGGAAATTCTGGAACTTTGCGTTGAATGGCTAGAATTTCTTCCGAAGTGATATGTCCTAGATTTCAATATGTGCATCGCTAAAGAGTGACCAGCTGTGTTTGCACTTGTTTGAGTCCGGGGATCATGCATAACTTCGCAGACGCGTCAACAAAACGCGTGCAGATGTTTGTCAACTGTCGGTGGCCGGTTTAGGAGGGCAACATATAAGTTCTAGATGACTTCATTCAATTCCAGGTTGTATTGTACTACGTATTAACCTTTCACAGATGTTGTCGCACACGGTGCAGCCAAACAACGCGGTGAGCGGTGCTCGAGGTCCTGCAAGCTATCCGGCTCTCAGTAGACGCCCACCTGTCCTACAGCACTGGATTTGATCATTCCGAGATCTACGGAGTTCTACCAATCCACTACGGACTCCTTCAAAGCGGTTGGAGCCGAAATGGGCGGGGATAAGTCCAAACGGGGAAAGATTCTGATGGGAGATCTACCACTCCACTCAAGACTGCAAGGTACGTCGTTTCAGGCCCCCGGACACTACCTTGGAACTAGCTCCGCCTTTTTACAAAAATTTCCACTGATTTACTCTATGAAAATCGGGCTCTGAACGTTGTTTTACTCTATGGCGGAGCTAAAAAAAATTCCCACGCTATTTTTTTTGGTTTTCTCGCCTTCCCTGCCCCTCGCGCTCACAAGCTGCGCATTATTATGGTCTGCTTGCCGAAACCTCTGATCGTGATGGCTACTATAGTTGATGAAAACCGCCTTTCTGAAGTCAAACTCGGTCACAGGGAGTATTTTTTTCAAATTTTTTTTCCCGGGCATAGCCCGATTTACTCTATGGCGGAGCCGCGAGTCCCGCTCAGAGCCTGTTTACTCTATATCCCGGAGCTGAAAATGTCCATTTGGGGCCTTGATTTACTCTATCGCGGAGGTAGTTCCAAGGTAGTGTCCGGGGGCCTGTCGTTTCCCTCTCTCCCATCCTCCCTCCGGCTCCCTGGCCCTCGATCCACCTTCGCTGACCGTCTCTACAGTTCCGTCGCTTCCATCTGGCTCTCCACCATGTTATCTCCATCCAGTTGCACGTCAATTTCTCCGCATGTCGCGTCTCCACCCACGCGCCTCGGCTCCAGCAACCCCTCTCCCCCCATCCAACGACGCTTCTCCCGCAGCACTTTCAGCGAGCCCCCGGGCATTCGCCTTTGGCACCCGCAAGCTACAATACGTCTTCGAAGCGGTCCACACGCGCGCAAAATACGTACACTGCGTACAACGATCTGGTCGCGTCCGCGACCTCCATCACGTCCCGCCCACATCCACCGCTGCGTTCTCGTCCACGCCCCGCGCCAGGCCATCACGATCATGCGACCCAAGCCCTCGTCACGCGCAGGGCCCGCCCTATTTCTACGAGCATCCGGTTCTTCGGTGATTGCTTCCCCACATCCCCCGCATGTAGTGCACGACCCGCGCACTTCTCTGCGCCTTCTCAGCGGGGACTCGATGCCACAACTATGTTGTGCGCAAGGTCTTCACCTATTGCCGCCATTCTGCGCAGTCGCCTCTTTCACCATGCTACCGCTGCGTTCGACGGCAACCCCAAGGATACCGCGCCCTGACCGGGAGCACAGCGAATCTCATTACCAACTGAGCATGTCGCACCCGCCCTCCATCTCCTTGTCTAGGACCACCTACACATCCCTTCTCAGATTGCCGTGTCGAATACTCTCCCTCCTGAATTCCCACTTTATCTGCGTCGTAGTCAGCAATGTCTTCGTTTTATACTTCGGACCATATTTTGAGCCGTATACAGTCCTCAATGAATGAATTCCGGCCTTGAGGCGTTCTTCTGCAAGTTTTTTTTAAAAAAGACTGAATATGGTTCGGGGGAAGATTACCAAAAAAGCCTAAGGGCCGACGTCATGGGTGTACATTTTTACGACAAAAGCCCTATCGGTCCTCTTTGGCAGCGCGCACGACTAGGGCCGCCTTTGTCAATCTCAAGGGCTTGTGCCCACTGGCCTTTTTGATCTCCAAAACCTCGTTCCAGACGGCCAAGTGGCGGACGCGGCCAATGCTATTTGCGCAAACCTTCCGTATGTGACGCTGAACGGGGATGCCCTTGACTCGCACTGGCACGACTATGAGATACACAACCGCGATCGTCCGCATGCTTTCATCTTGACACCCAAGGACACGCTTTGTTCTGCAGCACTCTCATTCGAATCCACCCTGGGAAGAGGTTTATACCCTGATACACTCGTTCTTCATCCTGGACTCATCTCCTCATTTCAGCCATCGCGCATCCTTGTCCATCGTGCATCGACATTGCACTTTGACATCACTGACGCTTCGCGCACGGTTCTCAACCCAAAACCACCGCGCGAGGCTTTCGCGGCGATCCGGTCCCCACTGTTGCCGCATTTCTCGACGCCCTCGTCGATACACAACACGACCCACCTGTCCCATTTCATCATATGATGTTCCGCCATCATCTGCTAACTTGTATGGGGTATCTCTCGTTATACACCCTCTCCGATAAAGGAAACCAGTTTACCGATGATGACACGAACGAGTGCGTCCTCCTTCTCCAGTATCTCCAAGTGCTAGACCAGCTCAAAGAAGAAAATCGGCCTCGCTTGAGTCGCTATTTTATGCGAATCAAGCAATTACATACCGTTCGAGGGCTCGGTGATGGAGAGGAGGCTCGATTGCGAGTAACTCCTGTACGCAAGGTTCTCCTTAGTTAATTTATCAGTGAACGGCTGGGTCTTCAATACCAGCCACCAGCAACGATTCCACAGAGTCCATTACTACAGAGACGGGTATCCCACCTGATACCGGTGAACCCCGGTTGACGCCGTACGTTCTTCTGATTCATTTTTCCACTTCAACATTCACTGAACAACCCTCAGCTATTTGACGCGAGGTAATTGTGGCCAGCTATCTGTTCAATGGCGTGCGTTGCCCAAATACGCCTCGATTGCTGCGAGAATGCTTCGCTAGGTGTCCTTCCTGGTGCCGAGAAGAAGAAGGAACTCGGCGAGAAGATGGGTATGGCTGTTGAGCTTACTGCAAGCGTAACGTCGCATCGGCTGTCGTTTCGTTTTGGGGACCAGCGATCCGTTCGCCGAATCACCAGAGATAGCTGCATATGCCAGTCCAGCCGAATTGTGCTTGGTCGAGTGGAAATCTGGGAGCAGACCTTTTGGTCGGCATAATTATTATTTCAGTGGCTGAATATTCTTCAAAAAAAAAAGAGAGCAGAAGTTCAAGGAATAATGAAAGTCGTATTGACATCGTCACAGAGGTCCCTGCATCCGATCGGTCTCTGCGGATTAATATTCGGCAGAAATAGAGAAATAAACAGTTAGCACCGTCTACTCGGAGTCACTTCTGCAGATATCTGTCACTTCGTAGATGGACAGACGGCGCTTCTATCATTCCATTCCCCTATCCTCATTTGTATTCGTGTCCAATCCCTACTGGCAGACTGATTCCTCACTTCCGCTTTTGGATTCGATTCTTCTCCAGGACCTCGCGCGCAATAAACTGGAACCGAGCTCGGTGCGACGCATAAATAGTGCGAGGTACTGTCTTTCACTTCGCTGTCGCTTTCTGCCCATTTTACATCTCGCGCCAAGCTGTGCACCATGCACCACGTCCCTCATTTACTCAAGCTGCCACCTAGGATGATTTCATTTGGTGCTGCAAGTTAACCCCACGAGCTGCTTTTTTTGTCCTGGAATTGTCGGATAATTAATTGAGTACGCTGGACCGCCTCTGCATACTGTTTCACGCCAGTGGACTGCTGAATTGCGAGACAGAAAAGAAAAGGAAAAGAAAAAAAGACGGTGGGGCCAGCCGAATGCGGACGCAGGGAGTCGAACCCTGACAGCTGCTTCATTCCAGTACCTACGACATATGGAGTGCAGCGGTGCGACGTTCACTTGCTACCCTCATTTACTTAAGGTGCTAACTGGGATGATTTTACTAGGAACATGAGGTGAAAAAAGGTGGGCAGATGGATTGATATGGGTGCATGTTTTCTTATTAAGGGATTGGGGAATAATTGAGGGCCTATGTTGACCTGTTGAACAGTTGAATTGTAAGAAAGGAAAAAGAAGGAAAAAGCTTTTGAATACGTAGCATGCGGACGCGGGGAGTCGAACCCCGACAGTTGCTTCAATTTTCTCTCCGAATCCGCAAATGAAATGCAGCGGTGCACCATGCACCAGATCCGCTTGCTACCCTCAGTTACTCAAGTTGCCAAGTAATAGGATTTTATTGGACTGCGAGAGAAAAAAAGAGCCATAAGATGTTTCGGAGTCAAACCTTAAATTCAACTGGATGGAACTTTGGGATAACGGGGTCTTGCTTTGAAAGCTGTGTCTGTGGGCTTGCGAAAATAAGAATAAAAAAGTGATGGATACATTTTCCAGCGCGGACGTGGAGAGTTGAACCCCTTCAACTGCTTCAATTCCTTCAAGCCACAAGCCCATAGAATGCAGCGGTGCGCCGTGCACCACGTTCGCTTCTTGCTCTCATTTATTGCTTCTTGCAAGTGAGATGAAATTTACTCACTGCAAGAGAGAGTAAAAGGGTGGTATGAGACACCGAATGCGGATGCGGGGAGTCGAACCCCGACAGCTGCTTCAATTCTCTTTCACACAATATTATGAAATGCAGCGGTGCACCATCCACTACATCCGCTTCCTACCCTCATTGATTGAAAGCTGCTAACTGGGATGATTTTATTGGGGCTGGGAGTTGTGTGCAAAAAACATAGCTAGGACCCGGAATTCTGTTTTTGGGGGGCTTACCGACTGCGTAATTGAGTCCCGGTTTGAAAGCGGTTGTACAGCTGGCCTGTGCAAAAGAAAGGACGAAAAATTGCAGAGGGACCGGTAGTGCATGCGGACGGGGGGAGTCGAGCCTCGACAACTGCTTCAATTTTATTTCTGTATCCTATAATGAAATGCAGCGGTGCCCTGCGCACACATCCGCTTTCTACCCTTGTTTCCTCAAGGTGCTAGGTAGGAGAATTTTATTGGTGCTGTGAGGTGATGAAACAGCTAACACCCCTGGCTGCCTTTTACGTCCTGTTATTGTCAAGAATTGTCAAGATAAATATTTGAATATAGTGTCTGTCATGTAGCACGTCTGTAAGTTCTGTTTGAAAGCAGTCGACCGTTGAGTTTGCCAGACAAAAAGAAAGAAAGGAAAACAACAATAAAAAATCTGTCAGGCCGGCGGAATGCGGACGCGGGGAGTCGAACCCCAACAGCTGCTTCAGGCATGTGGAGTGCACTATCCAATGCAGCGGTGGACGCGCACCACGTCCGCTTGCTTTTCTCATTTTGTCCTTATAATGAGAAAGAAATAAGGCATTTGACCGGCAAGAGAAAAACAGACCGAATTCTCAATGCGGACGCGGGGAGTCGAACCCCTAGTAGCTGCTTCAATTTTCGGTTTCCATTATGTACACGGCATGAAATGCATGCACCGTGCACCACGTCTGCTTCCCACCCTTGTTTCCTCAAGGTGCTAGGTAGGATGATTTTGGTGCTGTGTGAATTCCTGTGAAATAGCTGGAGGGGTAGACTCATAATCATCGGCTGCCTTTTTGTACTGGATGGAATTGTGGGTATAATAATAATTGAGCCGCGGTTTGAACTGTTGAATGGCGAGACCAAAAAAAAACCTTTCGTGCTTCGAAAGCAGTTGAACTGTTGAATTGTGAGACAGAATAAAACTGGATTGTGCATGCGGACGCGGGGAGTCGAACCCCTGCAACTGCTTCAATTTGATCTTTAGATCTCCCAAATGAAATGCAGCGGTGCCCCACACACCACGTCCACTTGCTACCCTCGTTTCTGTCCTCTCAGAGGCGAGGCGAAAATGAGGTATTTGAACTGCGAGACAAAAAAGAATTCGGGAGGGGGAAAATGCGGACATGAGGAGTCGAACCCCGATAGCTGCTTCAAGTTGATTCGGGACTAGGCTCTCCACACTCCGGAAATAGAGTTGTTTCGGGGCGTCCAAAAACGTTTCTGAAATTATTAGTATCAGTAAGGAATCAGTGCGCCTGAGACCATTAGTTTCAGGAGCAGTTTTGTCCGCCCAGAAACCACGAGTTTGTTTTTTCTTCACCCCCATGAAATGCAGCGGTGCACCATGCACCACGTCGCTTCCTATCATCCTTTTCCTCAAGCTGCCAAGTACGATCGCTTTATACATATAAGCCAATTGGTGCCATGAGAACACAAGAGCCATGAGATGGATCAGAGTCAAGCTTTAAATTCTTGCGGCTGCAATTGTATATATAATTGACTGCAATTGGCAGTGTTACCGCAAGTCATATTGGACCTTCAATTGCGAGACCCAAAAAAAAAAAAAAGACAGGGGGCCCAGATGAATGCGGACGCGGGAGTCGAACCCCGACAGCTGTGTGAAAGCTGCAATACAAAACACCATAAGATACAGCGGTGCACCGCGCACCACGTCCGCTTCATACACTGATTTACTCAAGCCGCTAGGTAGGATGATTTTATTGCCACGATTAGTTAAAAAAGGTGGTCAGATGTCTCGGAGTTGAATCTTGATTTCCTGGAGGTAGTTTTAATTGTCGGGATAACGGAGACGCCGCTTGAAAGTAACTGTGACCGTGGCAATAAAGAAAAACAGCTCTACAGCTGCATGCGAACGCGGGGAGTCGAACCCCGACAGCTGCTTCAAATTTACGCTTTCCTAATGAAATACAGCAGTGCACCGTGCACCACGTCCATTTCCTGTGGTTGTTTCTTCGAGCTGTTAAGCAGGAGGATTTCATTGGCACGATTAGTTGAAAAAGGTGGTCAGATGTCTCGGAGTTGAATCTTGATTTCCTGGAGGTAGCTTTAATTGTCGGGATAACGGAGACGCCGCTTGAAAGCAGCTGTACTGTTGACCGTGGGGAAAAAAAACAGCTCTCCTGCTGCATGCGGACGCGGGGAGTCGAACCCCGACAGCTGCTTCAATTTTCAGGTTCAGTTCCATCGGATGAATTGCAGCGGTGCACCGCGCACCACGTCCACTTCTTAGCCTCATTCCTCAAGCTGGTAGGTAGGAGGGTTTTATTGGGGTCGTGAGATGAAAATGAGGTATAAGATGGATCGGAGCCAAACCCGAGGCAAACCTTAAATTCAACTGGATGGAATTGGGGGCTTGCCGTTGTCCTGTTGAACTGTTGGATTGCGAGACAAGAAGCAAAAGGGGGGGAAAAGCCCTTTAACGGTGCATGCGGACGCGGGGAGTCTGTAACCCTCATATGAAATGCAGCGGCGCACCGTGCACCACGTCTGCTTCCACCCTCATTTCCTTAAGCTGCTATCTGGGATAATTTTATTGGTGCTGTGAGCCATCCCGCACTAGTTGCTTTTTCATCCTGGAATTGTCGGGATCCCGGATAATTGGCTACTGCGATCTGGTATGTAC